TTTCTTTCTTTCTTTCGTTTTTCTTTCTTTTTTCATTCTTTCGTTATTTCTTTCTTTCGTTATTTTTTCTTTCTTTTCGTTATTTCTTTATATTTTTTCTTTCTTTATTTCTTTCTTTCTTTCTTTCTTTCTTTCATTCTTTCGTTATTTCTGTCTTTCTTTCATTCTTTCGTCATTTCTTTCTTTCTTTCTTTCGTTATTTCTTTCTTTCATTATTTCTTTCTTTCTTTTCTTTTTTTCGTTGTTTCTTTTTTCATTCTTTCGATATTTCTCTTTTTTTACTCTTTTCGTTATTTCTTTCTTTCATTTTTCTTTTCTTTCTTTTTATTCTTTCATTCTTTCTTTCTTTCTTTCTTTCATTTTTCATTTTTCTTTCTTTCTTTCATTTCTTTCATCATTTCTTTCTTTCTTTCTTTCTTTCTTCTTTCTTTTTTCATTCTTTCTTATTTCTTTCTTTCTTTCATTCTTTCGTTCTTTCTTTCTTTTCATTCTTTCGTTATTTCTTTCTTTTTTTCATTCTTTCGTTATTTCTTTCTTTCTTTCTTTCTTTCTTTCTTTCTTTTTCTTTTTCTTTCTTTCTTTCATTCTTTCGTTATTTCTTTCTTTCTTCTTTCATTATTTCTTTCTTTTTTCATTTCTTTCGTCATTTCTTTCTTTCTTTCGTTCTTTCTTTCTTTTTCTTTCTTTCTTTTTCATTCTTTCGTTTTTTCTTTCTTTCTTTTCATTCTTTCGTCATTTCTTTCTTTCTTTCTTTCTTTCTTTCTTTCTTTCTTTCTTTCATTCTTTCGTTATTTTTTTTTCTTTCTTTCTTTCTTTCGTCATTTCTTTCTTTTTCTATCTTTCTTTTCCTTTCGTCATTTCTTTCTTCTTTCTTTCGTTATTTCTTTCTTTCGTTATTTCTTTCTTTCTTTTCATTCTTTCGTTATTTCTTTTTTTTATTCTTTCGTCATTTCTTTCTTTCTTTCTTTCTTTCATTCTTTCGTCATTTTCTTTCTTTCGTTATTTCTTTCTTTCATTCTTTCTTTCTTTCGTCATTTTCTTTCTTTTTTCTTTCTTTCTTTCATTATTTCTTTCTTTCTTTCATTATTTCATTTTTTTTCTTTCTTTCTTTTCGTTATTTCTTTCTTTCTTTTTTCTTTTTTATTTCATTTCTTTTTCTTTCTTTCTTTTTCGTTCTTTCTTTCTTTCATTCTTTCGTTTTTCTTTCTTTCGTTCGTTCTTTCTTTCTTTCGTCATTTCTTTCTTTCTTTCATTTCTTTCTTTTTCTTTCATTCTTTCTTTCTTTCTTTCTTTCTTTCGTTTTTCTTTCTTTCTTTCATTCTTTCGTTTTTTTTCTTTCTTTCTTTCTTTTCTTTCATTTTTCTTTCTTTCTTTCTTTCATTTTTCTTTCTTTCTTTCTTTTCATTCTTTCTTTCTTTCATTCTTTCGTTATTTTCTTTCTTTCGTTATTTCTTTCTTTCTTTTTCATTCTTTCTTTCTTTCATTTTTCGTTTTCATTCTTTCTTTCGTTCTTTCTTTCTTTCATTCTTTCTTTATTTCTTTTCTTTCATTCTTTCGTTATTTCTTTATTTTTTTTACTCTTTCGTTATTTCTTTCTTTCATTCTTTCGATATTTCTTTATTTCTTTTATTCTTTCATTCTTTCCTTCTTTCTTTCTTTCTTCTTTCGTATTTTCTTTCTTTCTTTCATTCTTTCGTCATTTCTTTCTTTCTTTCTTTCTTTCTTCTTTCTTTCTTTCTTCTTTCGTTTTTCTTTCTTTTTCTTTAATTCTTTCTTTCTTTTCTTTCATTCTTTCATTATTTTTTCTTTCTTTCATTCTTTCGTTCTTTCTTTCTTTCATTCTTTCGTTATTTCTTTCTTTCGTTTCTTTCTTTCTTTCTTTCATTCTTTCGTTATTTCTTTCTTTCTTTCTTTCTTTCGTTATTTCTTTCTTTTTTTCATTCTTTCGTCATTTCTTTCTTTCTTTCTTTCTTTTTTCTTTCTTTCATTCTTTCGTTATTTCTTTCTTTCTTTCATTTTTTATCATTTTCTTTCTTTCTTTCTTTCGTTTCTTTCTTTCTTTTCTTTCGTTATTTCTTTCTTTCTTTCATTTCTTTCGTTTTCTTTCTTTCGTTTCTTTCTTTCTTTCTTTTCTTTCATTCTTTCTTTTCTTTCTTTCTTTCTTTCTTTCTTTCTTTCTTTCATTTCTTTCTTTCTTTCATTCTTTCGTTCTTTCTTTCTTTCTTTCTTTTCGTTATTTCTTTCTTTCATTATTTCTTTCTTTCTTTCATTCTTTCTTATTTCTTTTTCATTCTTTCGTTATTTCTTTCTTTCGTTTTTCTTTTCTTTCTTTCATTCTTTCGTTATTTCTTTATTTTTTACTCTTTCGTTATTTCTTTCTTTCATTCTTATCGATATTTCTTTATTTCTTTTTTCTTTTCATTCTTTTGTTCTTTCTTTCTTTCATTCTTTTCGTTATTTCTTTCTTTCTTTCATTCTTTCGTCATTTCTTTCTTTCTTTTTCGTTCTTTCTTTCTTTCATTCTTTCGTTATTTCTGTCTTTCTTTCATTCTTTTCATTTTCTTTTTTCTTTCTTTTTTTCTTTTAATTTTTTTTTTTTTTTTCGTTATTTCTTTCTTTCGTTATTTCTTTTTTTTTTCATTCTTTCGTTATTTCTTTATTTTTTTACTCTTTCGTTATTTCTTTCATTCTTTCGATATTTCTTTATTTCTTTTATTCTTTCATTCTTTCGTTATTTCTTTCTTTTTTTCATTCTTTCTATCCTCTATTTTTTCTCCCTTTTTCTTTATTTCTTTCTGGTCTCCTTCTTTTTTTATTTTCTTCTTTTTAAAATCGTTTTCCTCTCTTTTTTTCTTTGTTTTATCTTTCTTCTTTTCCTTACTTTTTTCTTTGTATATCTTCTCTTTCTTTTTCCCCCTCTTCATTTGTCTTTCGTTCTTAATTCGTTTTACCTAGTTTATTTTTTTCTTTCTACTTTTTACTTCCGGTTATTGCTTTCCTTTCTTTTTCTTTTCTTTTTTTTTCCTCATATCTTTCTTTCTTCCTTTTCACTTTCTTTCTTTCTTCTCCCTCGTTCGCGCTTTCTCTTTTTAACACTTTTCTTTTCTTTTCTCCTTTTTCTTTTTTTTTTCTACCATTCTTTTCGTTTTATTATTTTCTGTTTTCTTCTTTCTTCCTGTTTCTTTTCTCTTTCCAACTTCTGATTTTGTCTTTACCTTTTTTTGCTTTCAATTCATCCTTTCTAAAATGTCCTCTTCTCTCCTTTCTTTTCATTTACCTTTTCTCTTCTCTTTCTTCCTTTCTTTCTTTTTCTCTTTCTTTTTTTAGTTTCACCTTTTAATATGTTTCTTTTCTTTGCTTTCTTTTTACTTACTGCTTCTTTTCTCTTTCTTTCTTTCTTTCTTTTTTCTTCACTTTTCTTTACTTTTTCTTTCTTTTACTTTCTCTTTTTTGTTTTCTTCTTTTCATCATTTGCTTTCTGATTTTTTTCTTTCTCTTCATTTTTCTCCTCATTTCTTTGATGTTTCTTACGTCCCATCGTATATTCTTTCATTTCTCTTTCTTTCCTAATATTTCTCATTCTTTTTTATAGTCACTCTCTCTTTCTTTTACTATCGTTCTTTCAGTTTTTTCATTTCAGTTTCCTATTTATTTACTTCTCTTTCTCTTTTTCCTTCTCCTTTTCCGTTTTAATCTTTCTCCATTTTTTTATCTTCCCCTCTCATAATTTTTGTTTCTCATCATTCTTTTCCTTCTTCCTTTCTTTCTTTATTTCTTTCTTTCGTTCTTTCTTTCTTTCTTAGACGAGACGGTTTGAAGCCAAATATTAATTTATTCTTTCTTTCTTTCTTTCTTTCTTTTTTTCTTTCTTTCTTTCCTCCCTTCTTTCTTTCTTTCTTTCTTTCTTTCTTAGACGAGACGGTTTGAAGTCAAATATTCATTTATTCTTTCTTTCTTTCTTTCTTTCTTTAATTCCTTCTTTCTTTCTTTCTTTCTTTCTTTCTTTCCTTCATTCTTTCTTTCTTAGACGAGACGGTTTGAAGCCAAATATTCATTTATTCTTTCTTTCTTTCTTTCTTTTTTTCTTTCTTTCCTTCCTTCTTTCTTTCTTTCTTTCTTTCTTTCTTTCTTTCTTTCTTAGACGAGACGGTTTGAAGCCAAATATTCATTTATTCTTTCTTTCTTTTTTTCTTTCTTTCCTTCCTTCTTTCTTTCTTTCTTTCTTTCTTAGACGAGACGGTTTGAAGCCAAATATTCATTTATTCTTTCTTTCTTTCTTTCTTTTTCTTTCTTTCCTTCCTTCTTTCTTTCTTTCTTTCTTTCTTAGACGAGACGGTTTGAAGCTAAATATTCATTTATTCTTTCTTTCTTTCTTTCCTTTTTTCTTTCTTTCTCTCTTTCTTTCTTTCTTTCTTTCTTAGACGAGACGGTTTGAAGCCAAATATTCATTTATTCTTTCTTTCTTTCTTTCTTTCTTTCTTTCTTTCTTTCCTTCCTTCCTTCTTTCTTTCTTTCTTTCTTTCTTTCTTAGTCGAGACGGTTTGAAGCCAAATATTCATTTATTCTTTCTTTCTTTCTTTCTGCCATTTTCTACGTGTCTTCTTTCTTCTTCTTCTTTCTTTTCTGTTTCGTTTCATGCGTTTCTCTTCTTTTTCTTCTTTTTTTATTCTTCGAGCTAAAATTTCTTTATCTTCTTTTTTTAAATTCCAATTTTAATTCCTTGTTTTTATTTTTTTTTTTAATTCCAGTCATTTCTCTTTCATTTTTCATTATTTCTTTCTTTCTAGTCAGATTAACTGCATATTTTCTTTCTCCTTCTTTACAGAGATTAACGACTTATAGCGATAGACCACACCTTCCTTTATTCCTTCATTTCTTCATTCTTTCTTTAATTCATTGTTTTATTCTTTTTTTTTATCTGATGACATTAATGATCTCTGCCATTTTCCTATTTATTCAGATTATGGTATAAGATCAATCTTTCTCTATTTCTATCGAGTATGTCTTCTATATTTAAATTTTTTTCTTTCTTTTTGCTTTATTTATTTATTTCTGTTTGCATCGGTGATCGATACTTTATTTCTCTGAGTATCACTTTTTCTTTTCTTTTTTTTTACTCTTTACTAGATTATACCGAATACAGTCTCTCTCTCTATCGTTTTCTTTCTTTCTATTTCATTCATTCATTCTTTCTTTCTTCTGATATATTGAGATTGTTATTTAAAGCATAAAAACCTTTTTCTCGCTTTCTTTATTTCTTTACTTATTAATATATTTATTATTGTCGTATTTACTCACATGAACTACTTTCTTTCTTTTTTTCTCTTTTTCTTTCGTTATAATTTCTTCTCTTTTTGCCAATAGCCAAAAATTATCACAATTTCTTTCTTTCTGTCTTTATTTATTTATGTTGAAACATTTTATCGTTACTGAGTTTTGCTCCCTCTTTGATCATTTTTTTTTTTTTGGTTTCCCTCGCCGCCATTCTTACTTGGTTGTCTATATTTTCTTTGCTTCTTTTAATTCTATTTTTTTTTCCCCATTTATCTTTTCTTTTAAGAATTTTTTTGTTTTGTTATTTTTTTTAAGCATTTTATTTTCATTCCCTTTCTTCTTCCTTCTTTTGGATTTCCTACCGCCATTCTTAGTTGAATATGTGGATTTCCGTTGCTTTTTTGTTTCTTACGTTTTCATTATTCTTCTCTTACGCTTTTCCTTTAATAAATATTTTCTTTCTTTCTTTCTTTCTTTCTTTAATTCTTTCGTTATTTCTTTCTTTCTTTCATTCTTTCGTTATTTCTTTCTTTCTTTCATGCTTTCGTTATTTCTTTCTTTCTTTTTCTTTCATTATTTCTTTCTTTCTTTCTTTCTTTCGTTATTTCTTTCTTTCTTTCTTTCATTCTTTCGTTATTTCTTTCTTTCTTTCGTTATTTCTTTCTTTCGTCAATTCTTTCTTTCTTTCATTCTTTCGTCATTTCTTTCATTCTCTCGTTATTTCTTTCTTTCTTTCTTTCGTTATTTCTTTCTTTCTTTCATTCTTTCGTCATTTCTTTCTTTCATTCTTTCGTTCTTTCTTTCTTTCATTCTTTCGTTATTTCTTTCTTTCTTTCATTCTTTCGTTCTTTCTTTCTTTCATTCTTTCTTTATTTCATTCTTTCTTTCTTTCGTTCTTTCTTTCTTTCATTCTTTCGTCATTTCTTTCTTTCTTTCTTTCGTTCTTTCTTTCTTTCATTCTTTCGTCATTTCTTTCTTTCTTTCGTTCTGTTTTTCTTTCATTCTTTCGTTATTTCATTCTTTCTTTCATTCTTTCGTTATTTCTTTATTTTTTTACTCTTTCGTTATTTCTTCCTTTCATTCTTTCGATATTTCTTTATTTCTTTTATTCTTTCATTCTTTCGTTCTTTCTTTCTTTCATTCTTTCGTATTTTCTTTCTTTCTTTCATTCTTTCGTCATTTCTTTCTTTCATTCTTTCTTTCGTTCTTTCTTTCTTTCATTCTTTCGTTATTTCTTTCTTTCTTTAATTCTTTCGTTCCTTCTTTCTTTCATTCTTTCGTTATTTCTTTCTTTCTTTCATTCTTTCGTTCTTTCTTTCTTTCATTCTTTCGTTATTTCTTTCTTTCGTTATTTCTTTCTTTCTTTCATTCTTTCGTTATTTCTTTCTTTCTTTCTTTCTTTCGTTATTTCTTTCTTTCTTTCATTCTTTCGTCATTTCTTTCTTTCTTTCTTTCGTTCTTTCTTTCTTTCATTCTTTCGTTATTTCTTTCTTTCTTTCATTCTTTCGTCATTTCTTTCTTTCTTTCTTTCTTTCGTTCTTTCTTTCTTTCTTTCATTCTTTCGTTATTTCTTTCTTTCTTTCATTCTTTCGTTATTTCTTTCTTTCATTCTTTCGTTATTTCTTTCTTTCTTTCATTCTTTCGTTCTTTCTTTCTTTCATTCTTTCGTTATTTCTTTCTTTCTTTCATTCTTTCGTCATTTCTTTCTTTCTTTCGTTATTTCTTTCTTTCGTTATTTCTTTCTTTCTTTCATTCTTTCGTTATTTCTTTATTTTTTTACTCTTTCGTTATTTCTTTCTTTCATTCTTTCGATATTTCTTTATTTCTTTTATTCTTTCATTCTTTCGTTCTTTCTTTCTTTCATTCTTTCGTTATTTCTTTCTTTCTTTCATTCTTTCGTCATTTCTTTCTTTCTTTCTTTCGTTCTTTCTTTCTTTCATTCTTTCGTTATTTCTTTCTTTCTTTCATTCTTTCGTCATTTCTTTCTTTCTTTGTTCTTTCTTTCTTTCTTTCATTCTTTCGTTATTTCTTTCTTTCTTTCATTCTTTCGTTCTTTCTTTCTTTCATTCTTTCGTTATTTCTTTCTTTCTTTCATTCTTTCGTTCTTTCTTTCTTTCATTCTTTCGTTATTTCTTTCTTTCTTTCATTCTTTCGTCATTTCTTTCTTTCTTTCTTTCGTTATTTCTTTCTTTCGTTATTTCTTTCCTTCTTTCATTCTTTCGTTATTTCTTTCTTTCATTCTTTCGTTATTTCTTTCTTTCGTTATTTCTTTCTTTCTTTCGTTATTTCTTTCTTTCTTTCGTTATTTCTTTATATTTTACTCTTTCGTTATTTCTTTCTTTCGTTCTTTCTTTCTTTCATTCTTTCGTTATTTCTTTCTTTCTTTCATTCTTTCGTCATTTCTTTCTTTCTTTCTTTCGTTATTTCTTTCTTTCTTTCATTCTTTCGTTATTTCTTTCTTTCATTCTTTCGATATTTCTTTATTTTTTTACTCTTTCGTTATTTCTTTCTTTCATTCTTTCGATATTTCTTTATTTCTTTTATTCTTTCATTCTTTCGTTCTTTCTTTCTTTCATTCTTTCGTTTTTTCTTTCTTTCTTTCATTCTTTCATCATTTCTTTCTTTCTTTCTTTCGTTCTTTCTTTCTTTCTTTCTTTCATTATTTCTTTCTTTCTTTCATTCTTTCGTTCTTTCTTTCTTTCATTCTTTCGTTATTTCTTTCTTTCTTTCATTCTTTCGTCATTTCTTTCTTTCTTTCTTTCTTTCATTCTTTCGTTATTTCTTTCTTTCTTTCATTCTTTCGTCATTTCTTTCTTTCTATCTTTCTTTCATCCTTTCGTCATTTCTTTCTTTCGTTATTTCTTTCTTTCGTTATTTCTTTCTTTCGTTATTTCTTTCTTTCTTTCATTCTTTCGTTATTTCTTTCTTTTATTCTTTCGTCATTTCTTTCTTTCTTTCTTTCTTTCTTTCTTTCATTCTTTCGTCATTTCTTTCTTTCTTTCGTTATTTCTTTCTTTCTTTCATTCTTTCGTTATTTCTTTCTTCCTTTCTTTCTTTCTTTCGTTATTTCTTTCTTTCATTCTTTCGATATTTCTTTATTTCTTTTATTCTTTCATTCTTTTGTTCTTTCTTTCTTTCATTCTTTCGTTATTTCTTTCTTTCTTTCATTCTTTCGTCATTTCTTTCTTTCTTTTTTTCGTTCTTTCTTTCTTTCATTCTTTCGTTATTTCTTTCTTTCTTTCATTCTTTCTTTCTTTCTTTCTTTTCTTTCTTTCTTTCTTTTCTTTCATTCTTTCGTTATTTCTTTCTTTCTTTCATTCTTTTCTTTCTTTCTTTCTTTCTTTCATTCTTTCGTTATTTCTTTCTTTCTTTCATTCTTTCGTTTTTCTTTCTTTCATTCTTTCGTTATTTTTCTTTCTTTCTTTCATTCTTTCGTTCTTTTCTTTCTTTTCATTCTTTCGTTATTTCTTTCTTTCTTTCATTCTTTCGTCATTTCTTTCTTTCTTTCGTTATTTCTTTCTTTCGTTATTTCTTTCTTTCTTTCATTCTTTCGTTATTTCTTTCTTTCATTCTTTTGTTATTTCTTTCTTTCGTTATTTCTTTCTTTCTTTCATTCTTTCGTTATTTCTTTATTTTTTTACTCTTTCGTTATTTCTTTCTTTCATTCTTTCGATATTCTATCTTCTTTTGGATTTCCTACCGCCATTCTTAGTTGAATATGTGGATTTCCGTTGCTTTTTTGTTTCTTACGTTTTCATTATTCTTCTCTTACGCTTTTCCTTTAATAAATATTTTCTTTCTTTCTTTCTTTCTTTCTTTCTTTCTTTCTTTCTTTCTCTCTTCAGTTATTTATTTAATACTCCCTTTTCTTTCTCCCTTTTCTTTCATTCGTTCTCTTTCTTTAACTATTTGTTTCTACCTTCCTTTCTATTTCTTTTACTGTTTTTTTTTCTTTCTTTCGTTCTCTTTCTTTCTTTACGCTTTTCTGTCTTTCTCTTCATTCTTTATTAATCTAGACGGTGTGAAGCCAAATATTCATTTATTCTTTCTTTCTTTCTTTATTCTTCTGTACTGATCATTCGTTTGTTTGTTTCTTCCTTTCTTTCAAATTATTTCTTCCTTTCTTTCTTCCTTTTATCCATTTATTCATCATGTATTCTTTCTTTCTTTCTTTCTTTCTTTCTTTCTCCTGTACAGGTTATTTTTTGTTTGTTGGTTGGTTTCGGTCTGTCTTTCTTTCTTTATTTATTTCTTTCTTGTCTTTCTATGTTTCTGCTGGACTGATCCTTTCATTCTTTCTTTCTTTCTTTCTTTCTTTTCAGGCATTTTATTTTCATTTCTCTTCTTCAATTCTTCCTTCTCTTGGATTGTCTACTGCCATTCCTAGTTGAATATGTGTATTTCTGTTGCTTCTTTTGTTTCTTTAGATTTTATTATTCTTCTCTTCAGCAAGACAACTTTCTTTCTTCCTTTCTCTCTTTCCTTTTCCCTCTTTCGCTCTTCTTTCTTTCTTTGTTTGTTTCTTTCTTTCTCGCTTTCTTTCTTTCATTTCTTTTTTCTTAGTAGCTATAAATTATCACATTTTCTTTCTTTCTTTTTCTCTTTCTTTCTTTCTTTCTTTCTTTCTTTCTTTCTTTCTTCTGTACTGATCATTCGTTTGTTTGTTTGTTTCTTTCTTTCTTTCTTTCTTTATTCTTTCTTTCTTTCTCCTGTACTTATCCTTTGTTTCTTTCAAATTCTTTCTTTCTTTCTTTCTTTTTTATTTCTGCAAACCCCGCTCCTTGAAAAAAAGAAACCTGATTAGGTTTTCTTCCAGCTAAGGGTTACAGACCAGAATGTCATTAAAAAAATAAATAAAATAAGCCACCTGAGAAAGAGAAGGAAAACACTGAAATCGAACCCCGACCTGTATCATTGGTACGAAATAGTTACAATCCTTAATAGATTTAAACTTTGGATTGCTACGTGTTCTGCTTCCCCCAAACCGTATAAGTGGAACATGTTCAAATTTGGAAGGAACTGTACATCCTTGTGCAAATTAATTGAAACAACTGCTTTAGTTTCCTTTCTTTCACCATACGGTCAGTTTTAGACCCACTGGAGTGACAGGCTGGAATTGATTTCTGTTTTTTCCTCTGATTAGGTCACTTGCAGTGGTGTGCAGTAATACGAATCTATTTTCGGGGTGTATGATGAAATTTGTTTGGCCTTAAATAAAATTGAGTCATCCATGATTGTATCAGATTTTCATCGCGCCCAAACACTACTGTCTCGACTCTCGATTAGTTGTCATGAATTCGTGTATTAACATGTTCTGGTGATTGTAACTGACAAAATAATTTATTCAGAAATATAGAATAGTGTGCAAATAAAATTTTAGATTTATTTATAAATAAAAATGCTTGTTTGTACTTAGTTTGTACCCAATCTGACACTTCTTAAATAAAGTTATTAGTATTTTTTTTTACCTAAGGATAGATGAAATATAATATATATGTCTCGGACAAATATAAGTATATAATCTACACAATATACATCGGTTGGCTAATCCTCGGTTAGTGATGTTGGACATTGTCACGGCATGACTATAAAACATTGAAAATAAATGTTAAAGCTGATTTCAGTTCTTTTATTTTAATCTAAATATAACCCCTCATATCCGGAATTTGTAACCAATCCCTCATATCCGGAATCCCTCATATCCGGAATCCCTCATATCCGGAATCCCTCATGCCCGGACTTTGTGACCAATCCCTTATATCCGGAATCCCTCATATCCGGAATCCCTCATATCTGGACTTTGTAACCAATTCCTCATATCCGGAAAGCCTTCTTAGTCCGGTTGTCAGGGATTCTACTGTATATGGAAATGATGGAGAGCCTAAATTGTTTTTTTTAAGAAGTTTGAAGTGTTTCGATAAATAAATAAATAAATAAATAAATAAAAGTTCCTCACTGACAGAATCTTTCAGAATCTATCGTATACTCCAAGAAAGCGCACGAGAATTTTAACACTGCACGAATACACTTGGGAAACCTCACCAGTAAGCAAATCAAAGTACTATCAACTGGATCGGAAACTCTCCTGATTTTAATCCAATCAAGAATCTGTGGTCAATCTGCAAGGAACGACTTCGTGGGATGGATATACGAAGTACTAACATGTACACTGGGTCATTGGAAAAAATATGAATAAAAGGTAAATAATAATGGAATTATTCGTGTTGTTTCAATTTATTTGCACAAGGATGTAGTTTATGGGCGGAGTATCAACTCTTGTTAGTAAAAGATACTAATACGCCCAAGATGACGAAAGACTTAGTAGCTTTGACCTGGCCTAAGTACTTAGGTCACAAAACCAAGCTTTTTTTTTTCTTCTTTAATCTCTGACTGTACTTAATTTCGCTTTTTTCATTCTGCTTTAGTTTGATCTTCTTTTTTTTAGATTTTTCCTTCTGTTTCCTGAAATTATACTTTACGCTTATTCTTCGCATAATTTATAAAAAAAAAAAAATCTTTCTTTTGAAAACAAACATGTTTCATTTTCTTTCTTCGTTCCACTTGCCATTCTCCCCGTTTGTTACTTTCTCTTCTTTATTGGAAATATCCGAAACGTCGCCAGAAAGTCTGCAAAAGTCGAATAAAGACATGATTTATTCATTTCCAATCGGATTAATAATGAACCATGTGACAGGTCATGTGACTGATAATTTGCCTGCATAAAATTAAATTCTCTTATATAATTAGTTGGGAAGCCTTTTGAATGTCTTACTGATTCAACAATTTTCTTTCAAAAATATGATGACAGGAGAAAGCAAGTCACGTTCGATTTTTTTCTGTCCGTTTTTTTTTCTTTCTCCGTTTCTTCATATCTAACTATGTCAGTATTCATATCTATCTTTCTATCTATCTGTCTGTCTGTCTATCTGTCTATCTGTCTCAGTATTCATATCTATGTTAGTATTCATATCTATATATATCTACCTCAGTATTCATATCTATATATCTATCTACCTCAGTATTCGTATCTATCTATCTATCTATCTATCTATCTATCTATCTATCTATCTATCTATCTATCTATCTCAGTATTCATATCTATATCTCTATCTCAGTATTCGTATCTATCTATCCCAGCCTCTTAATATCTATCTATCTATCTATACATCTCAGTATTCATATCTAACTATCTATCTATCTATCTATGTATCTATCTATCTCAGTATTCATATCTATCATCTATCTATCTATCTATCTATCTATCTATCTATCTATCTCAGTATTCATCTATCTATCTCAATAGTCATATCTATATATCTATCTCAGTATTCATATCTATCAACCCCAGCCTTTAATATATATATATATATATATATATATATATATATATATATATATATATATATATATATATATAATTATTTATTTAAAATATGATTCCAACGCTACATAAGAGTTCGCATGTTTCAAAACAAGAGACGAAAACTTCAATATAATTATTTGAATAAATTGACTTAAAGTACCAAGTATACATACATACACACACACACACACATATATATATATATATATATATATGTGTGTGTGTGTGTGTGTGTGTGTGTGTGTTTCGTTCTGTATGTCTGTCTAACTGAGCCTCCTAGAATTTTTCGATGTCTATGTGTTGAAATACCATCCATACCTCCATGTATTTTGTCTCTCTCCAGTCATCTATCTATCTATCTATTTATCTATCTATCTATTTATCTATCTATCTATCTTTATATATATATATATATATATATATATATATATATATATATATATATATATATATATATATAAAGTTCATATCTAGCTAGCGAGCTATATATATATGTATGCATACATGTATGCCTAAATCAGCTCAATCTATATCAGTCTATTTAAATATATCTATCACCCTGTCAGTCATGTGTCTGTCTGAAATCTATCTCTATCAACCTATCTATCTAATTGTATATATTTCGTTCATTATCTCTGTCCTTTCATATCTATTTATTTGCTGTCTAAAATTCTACCTATCTATCAATGGAATCTATTCTTTTGTCTGCCTGTCTGTCACTACTCTCCTCGTTTCTGTTCTCTATTGGTCGAAATGGGCATAGATATTGAATCATATTCTTGCTACTAATAACATCACAAATTCTCAGGATTGAAGAGATTTTGATTTTCCTCCTTTCACACTTTGCTCTTTATGAACAAAATATCTGATAATCTGGACAAAGAGCAGACATTCAATGTTTGCCTTAAAAATATTGTTGGCTAGAAATCTTTGCTAATTTTATACTATCTTATTATTGTTGCTTTTTATCCCAACACTCTGGCTCTATACATTCTTCATTATTACTATTATTTTATTTCTAGTTTAATTCCATCTTATTATTGTAGCTTTTTATCCCAACGCTCTGGCTCTATACATTCTTCATTATTACAGTTATTTTATTTCTAGTTTAATTCCATCTTATTATTGTTGCTTTTTATCTCAACACTCTGGCCCTATACACTCTTCATTATTACTATTATTTTATAACTAGTTTAACTCTAGTTTGGGTCTAGTCACTGAATGTAACCAACTTCTTTATCCACTGGGCCGAAACGTTGAGAATATGGCAATTTAGACGAGGATAATGTAAATAATCATAATATCTCATCTCTAGGATATAGACAGATATTCGAAAAACATTTATTCGAGTTGTGCATCTCTTTTTTCTTACCCCCCCAAGACCCTAAATACTGAATTATTTTCGTTCAACCCAAACAACGTAGACGAAAGCATTAATTTCTAAATTACAGTCTTCGTTTCTAAAATCTAACTTGACGCTAGGTTGATGACCTATGGAAATAAACGATGCATATTAATCTTGACTGATATTGTCATTTTGGTCATCTTGGAATAAACGAAAATGCCCATTTTTGTTTCTACAGATTTCCAGATTTATTTTCCAGATTTCAAAATTTTGACAACATTAGCCTCTTTCGACAAAACTGCAATTTTTCTAAAAATTTAACTGATCTGCAAACAAATTAAGAAGAAGATTAAGAAGGAAATTTAGAGAGCCATGATTCTCCAACTTCAAATCGGCGTTAAAATTTGATTCTAGACTAAATCAAATCTGTGAAAAAAAGAAAAATTAAACTTCTCTTTTTCTTTATACGCTTATGTACTTTAAAATTAAATATCAGGATTGACTGAGTTCTCTAGCCTTGTGTGGAAACCAGCCTAGAAGAAAGAAATCTCTGAATTCGAAACCAGGGAAAAGGCAATTGGAAAACAGGTTTCTTTCTCAAGTCATATGAATTTGCAGGTATTAAAAAGTAAAAGATGTGGAAGACCGTGGAAGCATATAACATTTTGGGGAAGAATAAATCTTGGATGTTCGCTTTTGGTGGGGAATAGCGAAAAAGTATCCGATCTCTTTTAATCAGCTTCAAAATATCTGAGAGTTGGTTTAATGGAAACTATTTTACTTCGTAATTATTTGAAAGTGGATAGATATCTTGAGCAGGCTTTGTGAGCGCTGATTTGCAAAGCAGGGTTTGGCAGACAGGAATATCTCAGAGGTCACATTTTAGCCCAATTCTCTCAATCGAGCCGATTATTTGCACGAGTGTATTTTCAGAATAATTATTTGCAAGGGTCCATTCGAAACAAACGATTTTCCTTTTTCTCTGCGAAGGGATACCATTATTTTATTTTATTTCATTTATTTTTTTAAATTCTAATTTTTTTTTTTTTTTTTTTTGAAAGTAGATAAACTTAAGTACAATTTTATAACACCTAACGTACTTATGTAAATTTCTTTTTCGACTGAACAAGTGGTCCGGCCTTCTGAATTAACCTCCATTATCCAGACATGCGCACTTCTTGCTACACGCTCACAAACAGGCGTCGCTCGAGCGGGAAAAATAACAAGTTTGGCACGCGTGAAATGCATCAATTTCTTCGACCATCATTAGATATGACGTGCCAAGAAATTTGCACCGTAATTAGTAGTGGAGACTTCCAATTAGAATTTGGGGCTTGTAAGATGTTCAATTTATGCGGTCCACATGGGTACCACTTTTTATTATGGTTTCTTGAAAGATTCTGTCAGTGAGGAACTTTTATTTATTTATTTATCGAAGCAATTCAAACTTCTTAAAAAAAAACAATTCAGGCTCTACATCGTTTCCATATACAGTAGGATCGCTGACGACCGGACTAAGAAGGCTTTCCGGATATGAGGAATTGGTTACAAATTCCAGATATGAAGGATTCCGGATATGAGGGATTCCGGATATGAGGAATTGGTTACAAAGTCCAGATATTAGGGATTCCGGATATGAGGGATTGGTTACAAATTCCGGATATGAGAGGTTATACTTAGATTAAAATAAAAGAACTGAAATCAGCTTTAACATTTATTTTCAATGTTTTATAGTCATACCGTGACAATGTCCAACATCACTAACCGAGGATTAGCCAACCGATGTATATTATGTAGATTATATACTTATATTTGTCCGAGCCATATAGTGATTTTCCAAGCATAGCTTAGATGTGGCACAAGGCCGAAAGTATGGGGCACCCAGTGAGTATCGAACTCACGACTCAGTTGTAATTGTTTTAGCGAGACAAGCCTGCTAACCATTACACCGCCTCGAGGTGCCCCTGTCCGAGCCATATATATTCTATTTCATCTATCCTTAGGTAAAAAAAAATACTAATAACTTTATTTAAGAAGTGTCAGATTGGGTACAAACTAAGTACAAACAAGCATTTTTATTTACAAATAAATCTAAAATTTTATTTACACATTATTCTATATTTCTGAATAAATTACTTTATCAGTTACATTCACCAGTACATGTTAATATACGCGTTTATGTATTCTATAGATTTTATCAGTCTTCCATCCATTCATTTCGTTATTTTTTCTATTGTTTATATCGTTAACTATACAGTAGAATCCTTGACAATCGGACTAAGAAGACCTTCCGGATTGGTTACAAAGTCCGGATATGAGGGGTTATATTTAGATTAAAATAAAAGAACAGAAATCAGATTTAACATTTATTTTCAACGTTTTATAGCAAACTAAATAAGGTAATGGTGAGTGAAATATAACGGAATTGATTTTAAGGAAAAAGAAATAAATTATGTAATGTTAATGAAAATTCATTAAATTAAGTATACCACGTATGCAAAACAAATAATGTAACGAGGATTTTTTAATCGCTGTTGCATGATGATTCTTTCTATTCTAATGTCATTCTCAACTTTTTCAGTATTTCGTTTGACTTTTTTTGAATTTTTTAAACGAAAAACACTTTTTAACTCTACGTGCGTTATTGGAATCGTCATAGCTGAATGCTGGCTTTCTTTCCATAAAACTGACAACCTTTTCAATAGTTTTTTTCACTTTCAGTCCAGGTTTCATCACAATCATGTTTTTTTTTTATTTCCTTGTTCATTGTGACAGTTTGAACGCCGGTGAATAGTTTCTTTGGAAGATTTTATATCATACAATGTCGACTTTCCTTCGTTGAACTCAGCCATTAGTTACAATGAAATTTCACAAGCGTCTAGTCTGTTTAAAATTTCCACTTTTTGTGATAACTCCAAAGTTGTTCTTTTCCTCTTATTCCCATCATCTTTTGAACCAATACAAGCCATTCGGGTAAGAAATAAGCATAGGCAATTATCCATAGTAAATTTCCTGAAAAACAGAAATTTCAAATCAGTTACATATCACCCAAAATAGTTCAAATATACACATCAAAATCATGTCCGGATATGCGGGATACTGGCTATCAGGCACTTCGGATATGAGGGATTACGGATATGAGAGATTCCGGATATGAGGCACTCTGGATATGAGGGATTCTACTTTACTATCATTAAATCATTTTATTATTTTTACAATTTTTATTACGTGTGTGCTAAATCTCAAAGCGCTATTTTTGAAAACCAGAAATTGCCATTTTTTTAAAATTTTTACTGCCATGTTTCTTCCGGGATGATCAGTGTGCCTATATTCTTCAATACGTGTAAATTGCTATGACGCTTGGGAAAGATAGTGAAGTGATTTCCCGTTATCTTCTCCGCATTTTGAAATTCATATTTTTCCTTTTAAACTGACTCCTACCGAAGGATAGAGATCATTGTCTACGTTGCTACTTAATCTATATCTAGGATCGGAAGAAGTAATGTATTCTGTGGCTTCCAAGGGTGCTGCTACGAAAGTCAACAAAGCAGGCAAAGTGGGTATTTGAACGATCCTTAACGGAAAACAGGTTTTTCACTAGACAGCATTACAGACAACTAATATGAATTTTCTTGCCCACTTGCTCTCTTTAATAATAATAATAATAATAATGATGCTACACATACCGGTTACATTACCATTACATTAGCGCGGCGATTAACTTGCCATCTATTCGATAATACTTCAATTAAATTGTTTATGGCCAACCAACACAACAGCAAAAAAACAACAAAACATTCGAAAAAATTGACATAACTAAATCCGCTTATGAAAGCCAAATGTATTCAGACACCAGACAATTTATAATCAAACTTTGGAGTTGACAAAATCAAAAACAAACAACGCGCATGCGTGAAATTAAAAATATAAAACGGTGAAAGTTTGTCCATCACAGCCTATATATATATATATATATATATATATATATATATATATATATTACATGAATCATTCATACAAAAAACAGATACAGAATTTAATGATTTAAATGGCGAGAATACATCTTCGCAAACAAATTTAATAAAGTACATTAACACCGAACCTGTAGATGAATGTTATGATCCTCGTTTATAAATTCCAGATAAATTACATAAATTCCAGGTTTGTATGAATGATTCATATAATGTAAATTGACCTGCACCATATATTTGATATATATATATATATATATATATATATATATATATATATATATATATATATATATATAATACAAGTAAAAGTTTTTTTTTCACTAAGTTATTTGATGTTACCGTCAATATCCCGACACCAAATTTCCATAAACATACCCTTCGAGAATCGCTGTGTCCACTCGTAAGGGGTTATCAGCAACTGAGAGTTTATATCCTTGTTCTTTTTCATAGTGTATGTGTGTGTGTGTGTGTGTGTGTGTGTGTGTGTGTGTGTGCACGTGCGCGCTCGTGCAGGTGCGCCCGTCTGCGCGTATGTGTGTACGTATAGAATGTCGAGGTTTTTTTTTTCATTTTGCACTCTCTCCTTATTGGTTTTTTACTCCTTTTTCATCTTTTTTTTTTTTCAGGTGTACACGTTTTGACTTCGGGTTTTCCAGACACCCACCCTCACACACACATGTGGGTCCAGTAGCTTAGTTCTTACAACCGTCTCATCGCATATATTGTTTAGATTATAGTGGCGAGGGCCTGTTCAGAAACAGCAACACTTTTTGGAATAAGCCGTATACAAAGAACTGGTTGGTACATAGCGTGCTACAAGTCCCAAAGGGACCCTTCCAGAGTTTTGAATTCAGACTTGTCTTTAACCAGTTGCCAATCTCTGACCCATCTCTGCGATTTCCTCGTAGCTTAAGGGAGAAGAAATTGATTCGTACCTTTCCCATATATATATATATATATATATATATATATATATATATATATATGGAAACACCGACCTTTATACTAACACGATTTCATTTTGTTTCATCAGGCAGTTAGAAGACTGCTTAAAGATCGGTGTTTTTTATGTCTTAAATTGCCCTGATTGTATGGAGCAGTCTTTATTTAGGAGTTCCTTTTGGCAAATATCACTTCTGCCATAGATTGAATATATATATATATATATATATATATATATATATATATATATAATCCGTTGGTATAATCCAGGCGAGTCCTATTAGCACAACATAGAATTTGAAATATGTTAAAACTGATTTTCAAAAGAGTGCTCGATGTTTATTTTCAATAAACAAAGCAAATTATCTTTACAATTGGAATCAAGATACCCTTAGTAAATGATCATTTTTACCTACGAATTTTAATTTTGAAATTAGCAGGATTTTTGATACTGTTTCTGGTATCGGCTTGTTGTGTACAAGCCGATACCAGAAACAGTTTGAAGTAAAATTTGTAGGTGAGAATAATCATTTACTAAAGGTATCGTAATTCCATCAGTAGTATATATATATATATATATATATATATATATATATATATATATATATATTCATTAAAAAACTAATGCAAAGGTTAATGATTTAAATGGCGAGACATCCATCATCGCAAACAATTCAAATAATATACAAAACCTCCAGATCCGTTATGTAGTAAAAAATAACAACTAATACGGCAGAAATTTATATAAACAAGGATCAATTCATTCATAACGGATCTGGGGTTTTTGTATACTATTTGAATTGTTTGCGATGATGGATGTCTCGCCATTTAAATCATTAACCTTTTTGCATTAGTTTTGTGCGAATAATTTTGTATTTGTAAATTGATTGCACGTTTATTGTAATATATATATATATATATATATATATATATATATATATATATATATATATATATAAAAACATATAGCATATAATTTATATACAAAGAAATAATCACGCATAGAATCAATCAGCAATATTAATGCTATTATTAGCGACATCCATCGCTAGTAGTGTATAATGTATGCATTAAAATACTGTTAATCCATAGAGTGATGTGATCCTCATTTATAAAACTGTTGTCTGTTGTTTCCAGTTTATATTTTTTTAAAATGCAAGTACTTTCGAATAATCCTTTATTCATCATCAGGCATATCTTTTCCTTGGAGACGAAATACACGTTCCGATATTGTAGACAACCGTCAATAAGAGCACATTCTCAAAAAAAAAAAAACATCTTTCGCTCTACAAAGAATTATTTTCCGC